AAACTTACCAACAAATTACAGTTAAGGACTGAATAAGCCCATGGGTAAGGTAAGTGAAGAAGAAGACTCTTAATTACCTCACTAATCACTTTGTCTCAACAACCGCAGTGCTTCACTGACTTGGTAAAGTTTTGTCCCATAATGTTTCACAAGGGAGCAAATTCCATCTAGCTGTAACCAGCAAACATCAGAAACACCACCTCTAACAAAGAATTTGTGGTCGAGAAGCTGGAAACACAATATAATCAAAACTAAGGGAAAAGTTTCCTAAAACCAGAGTTGAAAATTAACAAATATATTTCATTAGTACATCTTGGGTATACATTTTTCTTTTAAATTCTGCTTAAAAAAGGTTGTAACTACACAAGCAACTGTATGCATAACTGAACACTACCATATACAGGAACAACAATGAATTTAGAGTTTCACTAAATTAAAGTATTCAAACGTCTTGAAGGTTTTGTGAATTGAGATTTGGAACTGCTTTACTCTTTTTTCTACTTAAGAGTAATAAGAAATGTTTCTCTACACATTATTCATAATTTTATTTTCTATAGTCAATATTAACTAGAGAAATAATTACATAATTTTAAAATTCATATTTTGAGTGGTTTATACCCTAATAAATTTGCTGGTATATTAGAAATATCACAGTTGAAAACTAATGAAGACTGACAAAGAACAATTTTGTTTGTTTGTCCTAACTAATGGGTTGGTTAATTTTGAAACTTGTCATGTACTATGTACAAATGTTAGTTGAACTTTGTACTTCAACATTAACTTGCAAATAAAAATGGTATAAATTTTTAGCCTACTGGAGATAACACAAGACTTGCTGTATGGAGGAAGTTTATAAAGTGAAAAATAAGTATATTTTATAGGCTCAAAACAATACTGCTGTTAAAGTATCTGTTTACTACACCATGTGACACCTGAGGTTAAGAAACAGAAATTATTGATAACTTCTGTTATAAATAAAGAACTTCAGACTACTTTTTCATTCATAAACTTTTTGTAAACTTATATTTTAAAATGACAGGCATTCTAAAGCCTACTTAAGTGATTAAACAATTACAAACTTACTCAACAGCCCCATTCTCCATTAATTAATGTTTACCCATGTAACACACACTAACTTACCCTTCCTCACAAATACTTAAAACTGCAAGGAATCATTTCAAAACACATCCCATTACAGCTCAAATAAACAATATATTTTTCAGCCCTGTCCTGTGGCTTTACCCACAGGAGTCCCTTGCACCTTGAATCTGCTTTAAGTAACTACACTTACCATAAAGTCTAAATATACAAAAGTTGATACATAAGAATATTAAGATGCTCTAATTGAATAGTTGGATTTGACTGTAACATTTATGGATTAGCACATCTTTACTGTTTAATTTAATTTAAAATTTGCATCAAAATAACATCAGAATATTTACAAGGTTAAAGCATATTAACACAATTTCTGAAAGATGAATACTAAAAAAAAAAGGTCTGGTTAGTATTAAGATCTGAGGTTTTAAATATATGTAATTTTTGAAATGATCATTACGTAACTCAGCAAGATTTTTATTTGATGTGTGCTTATATTGAGATGTATTTGTAAATTTACTTTCTTTTACAGTTTTTTGCTAGAAGACAGAAAAAAGGCAGCTGCAAATGCTGGACTCCTCAGTCACATTGGATAAATGTAATTCATTGTATCCATCATATCCAGTGTTCTGATGCAATGGTTACTCTAGTGGATTTTGAAACTGTTATAAAACATTAATGTAATTATAAAATACTATTTAAAACTGAATCATTAACATTTGGTAATAAAATAAAGGTTTCAGAATAATTTATATAAACTTCACCAATTCCCTTAAATATTCAATAAGTTATTTCAGTAAAGGTTACTGATTTACCTGAGATGATTTATTTCAACAGTCTTTAGATAAAAAGCCTGCTATTTTTTTTTGTTTACTCTGATCTTTTAATCATATTGCAACAAGCTTTTGTAGTAAGTAGACATAATACAGCATGTATAAAAAATATCTGATTTCAGAGATGGAATAAACCCTTGTATACTTTGTTGTTGTTGTAATGCAATATTACTTTGGTAATCTAATCAAGCATCCACATGAACAATGGCAAGTCTGAGTAATTATTAGATTAGTATAAAAATAGTCCCATATCCTACTTGTTCATGCTCAGTAGAGGTTTTATATGTACATGATCAAATAATATCTCAGCTTCCCTTACTTGGATTCATTTTTAATTCCTTTCTTTCAAAATGATCATGTTATTACACACCTATAGTAACTGGTCAACAAATCAATGAAGACCAACCATTAAATAATTCTTGCTATTTCATTCTAATGTTAGTAGTACTCATAAATGTTGAATTCATAAAAAAAAAAGTCATAGTAAACAAAACCATCTTATTAAAGTGAAAGATTCAGGTTACAAAGAAGCTGTTTTATTACTGTAAATTTTACTGCAGGAGAGGAAGAGAGGGTGATGGAATTTCTCTTCCAATCTATCAATAATCACAAAATGAATGAGCAGTAGTCACAATACTCATTTTATAATACTGGATACATGTTTTATAAAACCTTAATAATCAATGAGAGAGAAACAGAATTTCATAGCATTCATAACAGTTTGATATATATTGGAATCTCATCCAAACCTAGTTTCACTTTTTTAAAAAACAAATTTCCAACTTCACAGAACAGTATGCTGCCCTTTTATGTATATAACAAGTAACTTTACTGGTTTCTAGCTGACAATAAAGCTTTAACATTATACAACACTGTCAATAAATCAAAATTTTGTGAAAACATCAAGACTTAACAGGATTTTAAAATCTTAATCAATTTCTGACCTAATAAGCCAATAAAATGAAAGCTGAGCTAAGCTGTATAGAGAGAATGGGGAGCAAAAATGAGAGCTTGAGCCTTGTTTCATTTATTTGAATTATTTTTTTTTACAAATTTACAAGTACATCAAAGAGTGTGCCCCCACTAATATCCATTATTCCAACAGCAACTTCACTAGTTTTGAGAGAATGAATACAATTCAAATATTTCAAGCACTTCCAACTTTTCTACCTCCTAATGACTTGCAGATAATAGAACAGTTTTAACAGCTGCAAACTTCATCAGAATTTAGGTTTCACCAGGTACTAAAAACTGACAGTCCACTCTTACAGTGCTAACAAGCTCTGCCTCTTCTAGCTCCATCTGGTTCCTCCCTTGTGAAGCTACAAGTACAAATTTTTAGATAAAGATGTTCTGATTTGATTCACATATAACTAGGACAAAAATAGTAAAAATATTAAAAAAACAGAAATACTGAAATTCTTAAATATATAACTAATTATCTTAGCATTCTTTAAAGTAGACACTAATGAACCCTTTTAACAATGAGAATAAGTACAGGTCAGGTTTACAACAAAGACTGTAAAATATAGTACTTTTCTAATGACTTTCTTATAATGATGATTTTTCTCAGTGTACAACTTTAATTAGTCATTTGACGAGAATGTTTAATTCTTGCAATGTTTATCTTTTCTGACAAAAAAATTTCCTTTCAATTTCTTGTTTTTTAGCAAAATATAAGGAGGTGGAATGTATTATAATATTATTTAGTTACTACTTTCAAGACAATTTAAAATTACTGAACTAAAACACAATGTGATTTCTCATCATATTTAACTACAATTTTATACATCAAGTTTATAAACGATAACCATAAAAAAAAACAAAAACGACAGGAACTTATTAAAATGATACAAGATAACATAGTTGATTTAAATCACTTATGGATGTCCATGCAAAACTTATCTGCTGATTTCACTTCATAAGTGCTATATAATTTTGATTTTTTTCATTAGTTCTGATACTAATCAATCAAGCTGAAGAAACTTGAATCATTGAAAATAATGAGAAATCATAATGTCAATATTTTGATCACTTAGACACTGAATAGTTGGAATAATTGAAAACATTACTAACCAGAAATGCTATCATGATTAGTTGATTATTTTAATGACATTAATTGATTTATTCATAATTTCAATTAACCAATTACTTTAGGTGATGCTAATTGATGTATTAGATGCTCATAGGCAGTCAATTATATCAATTAATTGCCCAGCTTTAAATCATGTGAATAATGTGATTGTACATTAAACAACCAGAAAGAAATTATTATTCATTCAATGTCTTAAAATTAATTTTTTATCTACTTGATATCTTCATACTAATGTGACTTGGTAAACAAAATAATAACGTGTGACTTGAAAAATATCCTCAATCAATTCATAAGAAACTTGTTGGTCATCGGTATCAGTCCAATCTGCCAAAATGAATTAAATTACCGAATTAATAGTTATTTAACTATTCATTTAAGAAACATTTCAAAGCTTGTACAGAGTTTTATTTTATATTTGACATTTGCTTTTAGTCTAAACAAGACATATATGATATCAACAAATATTTTAGTGACATTTCTCCAAAAAACTGTATACTAAGTTCATAAAAGAATATTTCTAACTGAAAATGTTTTGCTGCTTCATTTCTTACATTCACTTAATCACTTCCTAAGTAATTTATCAGCAAAGAATTCTAAATGATAATTTGAATTTATTCACAAAAACGTTTTCTTCTTCATACTACATTTGACAAGTTGCATACATGAATTTTATGTTTTGCATGACATCACCTATTCTAAGTGTTATCTATAAACTCTGAAATGGATTTGTGAAATATCAGAGCAAAGAAAAGCATACACAGAAAAAAAGTTTATGATTTGCTAGAAAGAATTAAAATACATAGATACTGAAAGAAGATAATGTATCCTTGCTAAAATTAATGGATTATTACATGATTCTGTAAGAAAATCAAAGACATGCTATTTTGCTTTGTAATACTTCACATCAGCAAAGCTTGTACAAACACTTTGATTTTATGCCACATTTAGTTGAATGGTCAGCAAAGTATTTTCCAACTTCTGAGGCTTGAAAATACTTATAACTGATTGAGGATTATTCACCTATATATTTGAAGAAAATGAAAAGTGTTCAGCTCTAGAATACAACAGTAAAATTTGTTAAACATATCTTCTAGTATAGCAAGTTCAAGTTAACCTGATTTATAAAATGGTAGGTTCACATCTTTCATACATCTTTTTAGTTTTCATCATCTTGTTTAATCTTCCATTAGAAAATATATGTTGCAATGTCTATTCTTTACTTTCAAATCAGCAAGTATTAAAGTAATAAGAACAGTATTTGTGCAAATAAACTTATCATCACAAGTTGGTTGACTGCTACAAAACATGAATTAAAATATTTAATCAGTTTTATTTTTTGTAGAAATTATAATAATATTGTGAGTAAATAACTTGATAGGTTGGGAGTTCTGATCTTGATCAGGAAATGGTATAACTAATCTATATCACTCTGATATGTTTACTTTAAAGCCAGATAAGCAGCATTTATTCTATTTTTATTTTTTATTACTTTATAAGTTTCTTAAAAAAATTGAAAATCTAAGTATTTTATTTCTAATTTAACATTACCAGTTTTCAGTATAAAATATGCTTTTCGATAACTTTGTGATTTGATCTGTTTCATCAGTACTATCCCAGGTATTATATCCTCTTCATTACTGACTACACTGCACTCCAAATCATTCCCTATCTCTCTTTTTTTCAATTTTTTATTATAAACATTTAATTAGAGGATATCAGTTTAGACATTTTCTCTTTCAATAAGAAGCATGAAATTACTGACATTTACAGACTAATTGTATAATGTTAGATGCTGAAAACTGTGCAAATGATTACATCTTAACCCAAGATACATAAAAACATGATCTAATTTACAGAAGCAACATAAAGTGTAGAACATGGAAGAGTAATCAAATTTATTCTACATTTAAAGAAGTCATATTAGCTTCTTAATTGTTCAGAGGGTCTTTGTTACATGGACAGTTAAAAATGTAAAGGACTTGGGAAACATAATTTACTGCAAGGTCATGCAAGTAAATGAAATTTATTTAAAGTGATTCTGATCATAATAACCAAGTGCTTTGTAAACCACTGAATAAGTATATCTAATAATTATTTCACTTCTACCTATTCTTATATAACTTTCTGTTAGAAAAGATACACATCAATCATAAAAATCTTAGCAAGGAAAAAAAAATGTTTCCAACAATAGAGCAATGTAGAATAGCATTGGTACCAAGAATAAGAGAAAATATATTAGTACAGAGTAACATACCTTGTCAATTGAAAATCCCAACATGGGTGAAATACTAGAACACAAAAAACTTTGGCCATTGTTCACATATACAAATCTCTCTCTCTCATTATCCATCACCATCTCTGGATTGATCCAAAAAGGTAAGGGTTGCTTATTAGTTCTATGAATAACAATATTCTCCTCCTTTGTACATCATGGTCATGGGTTACTGTGGGTTAAAAGCATGATAGACATATGAAGTAAATAATTTATTTAGAAATACAATAATTCTTAAATATTACACTACATCTAACTACCACCCCACACTATGTGTTATTACCTGACTGCTTGTCCTAACATATAAAACAAACACTGAATTATACAAAAAACTATTTTAAATTCTAATTATTTTACTTAAAATTAATGGCAAATATAAGTATACTTTGGTGCTACTACAGCATGCAATCTACAAAGATATTTACACTATAGCATGCAGTCTACACAGATACAATCATTTTAATGGTTCACTAAAACATAATTTCTTACAAAACAATTCATATCTATCCACATTTTTGTTTAGCAAATAATAATAATTTAACAAGTTGCATGTTTGAAATAAGTAACTTAAATTTAGGTTATAATTGTGCTAGTTTTGATTGTTTGAATTTATTTCATTCTGATTATATTTGCCCCCAAAACATTATGTAATGGTATTTTGTACTTTATTAGTTTAAAAGCATTATTTATAATAAATGGCACCAATTGAAAATAAACAAATGTTAAAATGGTAGAATCTGTGTAGACTGCACGTTGTAGTGTAAATATCTTTCTAGACCGCATGCTATAATAGCACCGTTTACCTCTATATGTATAAATAGCTTATCCTCTATCTCAAATGTCAAACTAAGTCTCTCCATTCCTGAACATTATTTGTGGTATCATTACTTTTAATTACAGGAACACTTCCATGTATGAAATAACCATTTCAGCCAATTATCTCTAAATGTGTTCAGAACAGTTTTTGTGTGACTACAAAGTAAACAACTTCACTCTTCAGAGACTGTAAACAGGTATGGTGAAGAATAGTGTGTGTATAGAGGTAAATATCTTATTTGAATTAATTTTACTTCTACAGATATTAAAATAAGATATTTTGACTTACCTTTATATGTACAAAAAGCTGTCATCAAGATTAAGAAGAGGTTGGGTCCACACATAAGCAGAAGGTAACAACCTTTCTTAAGAATAGTAACAATCAATTGTTGATTAAGCCTCATATGAATCACACAAAATACTGGCTAAAAACTAAAAGCATGGGTAAATGGCATAAAAAGATATAATAGCCATATACATTTTCTTATAAAAAAAAAAGGGGGCTGTACCAATTTAAAAACAATAAATAACCTGTACTTTCTACTGAAACATTCAATAGTCTGTATGCGAGATCATACTAGCACTGTTATGGGACTAATTAGTCATACATAGAATTAAGAGGGCTATTGCTGAAAAAAGAATGATATGACAGACAATATCAAAAAAGTGACACAACATATGGTTAGTTTAGAACTTGAAGTTGAGATAAATCAATATATTTGAAGTGTTTCTCTCCTTGCCATTATTCACATTCTCTTTATTTACTGTGTTCATGCCTCATTCTATTTTCCCCACACAATAATTTGTGGGGAAAAAATACTCAGATCATTTATCTATGTTAAGCTTTCAGATTTGTACACTGAAGAATTGGCAAGTAACCTCAAGGTTTATCTGTCAGATTAAGTCATGTACTCTTCAGTGTAAAACTTAGAATTTCTTTCAAACTGTCACTTGCACCCAAAGAAATTTAATATTTGGCTGTACCTTAGAAATAGATCTGTTCTTTATCATTTGTTGTTGGATTATTCATAATTTTTATAAATTAAAAAAATTTAAAATACCGGAAACACAAAGAAATTTATACCACAGAATAATAGAACACACTAGCTGACCCAAAATCAAACTTCTGACAAGCTTTTGTGAAAAAAATTGTTAAATGTTCACATTGCACATTGGAAAAACAGAAATGCACATAAGCTAATGATAAAATCAGTTCTTCAAACTATTTGTGTACATTCATTATTCACCAGAAAATATTGAGATTAACTTAATGATCTAAAAAAAAGTACAGACAATTTTCAAAATATAATTGTTTACATTTTATTACTTATTTAACTTCTATTGTTGCCTAAATTTTTCTAGGTCTATTTAACAATAATATTACCACTTAGTTTGTCCTATAGAAAAGTCTGTTTTAAACTTAGTTAACATGGTCAAAATCACAGTTCTAAAAATTGTCACTGCTGATTAGTTAAAAAGGTGAGCCCAGAGGTCTGTCAAAGAAGAAAGCAGATTAGCAAGGTTTGATGAATGTAGGATATCCTCAGTATTATATATCATGCATTTTTACATATATTCATTTATTTGCATAAATATATATCTTGTTAAGGCTCCATATTCTTACCAGAAATACTGGTAACTAAACACAAAAAGGCTTTGAGAAATGCCCTACAGGTACATAAACTATAGTCATTTAAATTAACACTGAAAGCAAACCTAAGATGGCAAAAATATACATACATATACAGCAGTATTTGAAAGGTGTACTTACAAAAACTGTTCTGTTTTTGTTTCTTTCATGTTAAAATATTACATGTTCACTTTGTTCTAACCTACATGAATATGAAGTTATGATAGCCATAGCACAGATTCTGTAAAATATATAGAAAAAGGCATAAAAGAAAAAACTTACTGGTGGGTAGAAAACTGTCTTAGAAAGAATTTATATAAAATGGTTTGCCATAGACAATAAACACAATAAAAGAGAAATAATAAACAAAAGTCATTCTTTATGAATAATAAATCTTTTTTTACTTAGTCAAGGATATCCCTACATTTTTTTTAAACTATCACAAGTTATTAAAGTTGCATATATATATTGAGGATACTACCTAACCATGTGTTTGTATATCCCACTAAGAAAATTATTTAATAAATCTTCAATGTGCATATATATATATATATACTGAAAAAATATATATAATTCCTTATAATTATATTATGACTTATGTTTAAATTTCAAGTTTCTTAGATAATAAAAATTTTAAATATGCCACTATTTATTTTTCAATTCATAAAATTTATCAAAAATTAAACTGTTATCTGTATAGACCTTCCAAATTCTCAAAAAATTTGACAACGTGAAAGTGGCTGACTCTACAGTTTAGAACATAGAGAGGTGTCATATTCTAACATTAAACAGAAAAATTAAGCAAAACCTTTAAATTTGGTCCAGTCTATAACTGACCAATTGTCTTTTTTTCTTTGGAAGATAATCAGAGTGGATTTAATATAAATCCAATGGCCCAGGAACCTGTTATACTATATTCATGATACCACATGAAAAGTAACAAATGATTATTAAAATATGGCAAAAAAATAAAGAAAGAACAATTGAAGACTTTTCCAATGTACAATTATCAACTTAAGATATTATTGTCAAAACTATATCTTGCCAAAACAAAATTTTAAATGTTAATACAGTGACATGTAAAAATAACCAACATTGTATTTGTTCATCATATGCATTTTGGAATTAGTTTTTGTGTTTGGTTGACAAGCACAGTTTCTTAATAATATAGTTTGACTGGTCCATTTTGTTAAGCCGAAAGGTGACTTGTTTAGAGCATGTCAGTAAGATATGTAGATATATGTTATCTGGCCATTACAATAAATTACAGTATACACATAACAACTAGCTCAAAAACAACTAACCAAGAATAAAATTAAAAATACAAATTACATTTTTAACACTGTATCTAAATCCATATGTTCTTAAATAATCTGGATAGTATATTGGAAACTACCTCTTTTGTTTCATTTTAAAGTGTAAGTATGCTAAACTTTAGTCTGGATGCTACTGAAATTGCAATCAATGCTTCAGTTCAAGTTCAAGATGAGTGTAAGCATGTAATTTCAACCATGATGCAAAGATTAAAATTAAATGAATTAAGAATAAAAGTAAAAATAACTCTAAATTTAGGCTCTAGGACCGCTTGTTTTTCATTTAGAGGTAGAGTTAAAATATGATAAAGAGGATCTAATGCTTGAATTTTTGAATAGGAAGACGAAGTTAATTTTGATTTAGTTTCTCACATCTCAAAAATGCTTCAAATAAAAAAAAACTATTTAAAACTAAATAATCCTTTATTACTAAATATAGTCATTATAATTTTCCATATATTTTCATAGAGCAAATAAAAATAGCAAAAGTTACAATGGAGCTAAATAATACCTCCTTTCTAAATTTTGTGTTTCCACCACCACATACACCTGTTTATTAACGTCATTAGTTACTGAAATCTCTTCCTACGTTCCTAATAATAATATTATTAAGAACCCAAAAATAATTTATACTTTTGAGAAGAATAACAGAAAAAAATGTGTAAAAAGTATGTCAAACAGTAAAAATTACTCAACTGTTTATTTGAATTCAAATTTCAATGAAAAATTAATCAGAGCCGTAATTAAAATTATCAACAGAAATGAAAATCATTTTCAAGATTTTTATTTTTCAAATGCACAATTAAATAATTTTTTCTATTCCCAATATTTTTCATTTATTTCCATCATCTTTTCTCAAAAGTATAAATTATTTTTGGGTTTGTCCGAACAGAGACCACATTCACAAATCCACTACTAATACTAGTAATAGCATAACTGAGTGAGTATAACTTATAACTGATTAAGCCTATTGATAAATTAATTAGAAATTTTCAGCATTTCAAAATTCAATTCAAGTAATAACCTACGAATATTGTAAAATTGCAGTAGTATTATTAGGTTACGTGACATCTATACTTTATTAGATTAAATATTTTCTAACTTTAATCTGATACAGATAACTAATAGTAATACCCATTATAATATCAAAGTAAAAAAAAAATATATAAATTAGCACTGCTGCTAATCCTGGTAAGTTGTTTCGAAGTTTTCAGTTTTCCAACGATAAAAACACCTTATGTGTGTTTGTTTGTAGTTAAGCACAAAGTTACACAGTGGGCTGTTTGTGCTTGCCCACCACAGATATAGAAACCCGGTTTCTAGCGTTCTAAGTCCCCAGACATGCCGCTGTGTCACCGAGAAGCGATAAAAACGGTAAACATGCAAACCAGCACACAGCCTGTAATAAATAAAGCTCTATCTACCGATGTTAGCACAGATAAACTATTGATTTTTGTATACATTTTTCTGTTTAGATAATGCGTTTTAATATGGCAAATTAACTACCTTCTTCCTTTTAAAAATGGAATATATTATATCACTCATTAAAAGGATGGCTATATTTTATGAATGTAAGTTTTGATTAAACTAAAACTTTTCTTGTTTTGAGTTTGATTGAGTAAATGAAACTTCAAACAATAACACAACATTACACTGAAGTTTACCAAACACCCTTGAAATCAGTTCAAAATTAACCAACACTTGGAGAAAACTTGCCATTAAACATAAAATTAACGTTGGCGTCAAATTCACTCAAAAACCCGACTCTAAACTAAAATCATTATTCAGTAAAAATTATATGGAATCACACAATACCAACGTAATTTATAAAATAAAAGGCAATAACTGTCCAGAATTCAACATCAGAGAAACTGGAAGAAAAGTGGAAATCAGGTTCACCGAATATAAAAAAATCTTTCCATGTTTACCATCATTGCAACTCAAATAACCATAGCATCAACAAACGCTTTCACTTCAGTTCAAAATCGGTGTTTTGGTCTTTTGATAGACCAGGGAGAGTCAGGTTCAAGATGACCTCTTCCTCCTTTCCGAACTGTAATTTTTCTACTGATGAATGTTAATGTAGATGCGATATGAGGATCGGAGTAAATCGCACTTGCTCCGACCCCTTTCAGGGAATGTCCATGTAGGTATATCTACAGTTTCATTCTTGTGCTGTGCATCATATCTCTTAGTTCAGTATTGTACAGTCTTACATTTTGCGAACAGTTCCATATATGCAAACAACACATTTCAGAAGTTAGAAACTAATCAAATTTTACATAAAAATACCTTTTAAATGTATTATTCTTAGTCTAGCTAGTGTTGGGTTTAAAGTCTAGTAGAAGGTGGCCTTATTACATCCTTATTTCTAAAATAAATGTTTACAGATGAGAGGTGCTTAGGTCTACTTCCATCATGTATGTATTTGTGATCAAGTTCACAGAGTAAGCCATTCTTTTGCCATTTTCTCGCAAACTAATTTAGAGTATTATGCAAGAGTCTATCAGCTATTGTTTGTATGTTTGCATATCTGTGAATAAATTTTAATGAGGTACTGTGGGGGGACTTAAAATGCTGTGGTGATAAGTGAGTTTTGTGTAGACTGTAGTTTATTTATATGTTTGGGAGCTATTTTATCCATGCAGGGCAGGCGTATTCTATGATGGGACGTATATATATGTTTTGTATATTTTAATAACGTTGTCAGGTGATGTTCCCTGGTTTTTGCCTGTTAGACTTCTCTCATAATTTGTGCGCTCCTAGATTTTTGTTAATATATTATTTGTATGTTTTACCCAAGTGAGTTTTGGGTCGAAGGTTAATCCTAAAGATTTTGCAGAGGTTGTAGTCTGGAGAAGTGTTCCATTCATGTATAGTTTAGACGGGTATTTTTTTGTGTTTTGTTAATCTTGTAAAAGTTAGTAATTGGTTTTTTGGGACGTTTATTTCTATTCGATTTTTTTGACAGTATTCTTCTATATTATGTAATAATGGTTGTAGATTTGTTGCTGCTATGGATGGGGTGGGGGCACTTTTCCAGACCGCAACATCGACCGCGAATTGTGATGCGAACCCATGATTTGGGTCTTTTAGCGGCATATTGCTCACATACATAATGGGCCCGGCATAGCCAGGTGGTTAGGGCGCTCGACTCGCAGTCTGAGGGTCGCAGGTTCGAATCCCCGTCACTCCAAACATGCTCGCCCTTTCAGCCGTGGGGGTGTTATAATGTGACGGTTGGTAAAAGAGTAGCCCAAGCGTGGGTGGTGATGACTATCTGCCTCTAGTTTTACACTGCTAAATTAGGAACGGCTAGCGCAGATAGCCCTCGTGTAGCAGATAAAATATACACCAAGTTAACATAAGGTATGGTTTGTTTGGAATTTCGCGCAAAGCTACACGAGGGTTATGTGCGCTAGCCGTCCTTAATTTTGCAGTGAAAGACTAAAGGGAAGGCAGCTAGTCATCATCACCCACCGCCAATTCTTGGGCTACTATTTTAACCAACGAATAGTGGGATCGACCGTCACACTATAACGTCCCCACGACTGAAAGGGCGAGCATGTTTGGTGGGACGGGGATTCGAACCCGCGACCCTCAGATTGCGAGTCAAGCACCCTAACCAACTGGCTATGCCGGGCCGCGAAATAAGGGAAGCTATCTTAATTGAACAAAACAACCCTACTCTAAACCAACACCTCAGGGTACCAAGATATCTTTACTAAGCTGTTAAGGAATCCCCGATCGTGTGATCTATTTGTTCCATGCTGTATTTAGATTCATGTGTCTCTGTAAACTACTTGTATCTGATGATGGCACAACCTTGTCGAAACGTTGCACATATAAAATAAAGTTTTCTTCATTACACTTTCAAGCCGTCTCCAAACTTTTATTTTGTGAAAAGTGGGTTCCTCGACATCAAATTTCAGTAATATGTGTAGCACTGGCGTTAAAAGGATTGACAACGGAATATACTTTTTTTTGGCGGATTGTGATGTTATAGTTGGCCAATGCTTAAAGGTCACGAGGGACCCGGTCAACAGGACAAT